TCTGGCAAGTTACTTGATTAGGATGATTAGAACTACTCAGTTTGTAGAGCAGGATCAATGAGGGTGGGTGTTTAGACTTTTCTGTCGGCCCAAATGATTTTCTGTTAAGTAGTGGCTTTCCACATTTTTCTTAAGTCTCCAAATAGAAATATGACTTGTTTTGGAGTCTTTTATTCCCGTACTATACATTGTAGCATTTCATATAAGAGGCCAAGGCCAGGTGCACCTGTTTTACTTTTTTCACTTTAAGGTGTCACTAGTAAATGATGTCATAGTATCATGTCCAATACTTGTAGCATCACTTGAGCTTCAGTCAACCACATTTTTTGTTGCTTACAAAATATCATGACAGGAAATTTAAAGATGTCTCAAAAGGAAGATATTGTGTTAGAGAATTTCATTCCAGTAATCTCCACAAGGGATTAACTTTGTTGAGGAAGTTTTTGAATTAAATAACATTTAAAATGAGGCGAAAAGTGATTGTGAATATAACTGCAAGAGAACTATCTAGAAAAAAGGAAAGAATGTAGGGTCTTATCAAACATTATCTGTACATGCAAACAATTTATTTAAATGACAGATCCTACATTTGACTTGGGTTTTGACTACTTGAGGATAGTTAATTTATAGACTTATATACTCGTTTTTTATACATAAAACATGTACCATGTCCATGTAGACTCTGAGTCTGACTTTTCATTTTAATACATCATATTATATTTATACAATTATCATTTCTTTTATTACTTTATGGATTTTAAGGTTGCATAGATCACAAATGTTACACCACAAAAGACTTTTATTGCAGAATTCTCATGTAAAGGAAATTTGGAATGAACACTTGGTAGGGTTCTGCCTTACAACCCACAGTGTCTATTTTACTTCTTATGTGAGTCTGGGTGCACATTTGACAAGATCCTGTATTTGTCAGATACATCCAATAACAGGATGTGTCTACCGCTTTATGCCATGTGAATGTCTATCCTGTGAACATCTAGGAAGCTGAAGACTCAGGTTTGTTCATGCTCATTGCTAACTTGACATTATGCGGAGCCACAAACCATGTTCCTATAATTTTGAGAAGTAATCCTATTCAAATATTAATCAAGAGCTCCTAGGAAAAATGCACACTGAATTATATCTGTAATCCTCTGACTCATGCCTTGGGCTTAAAATATAGAGGTCTACACGTTGTACACTCATTTCATAATGATTATCACTTACTATATTGGGTATCGTTATGAAATGAGTGTATAATATGCTCTAGGCCCAAGGCATGAGTCAGAGGGTCAATTCAGCACAAGCCCAAATTATCTGGTTCTTGACACCCAGGTTCTTAGAAACTAGTGAAAACACATTAGTGCTGTCAGAAAACTAGTACATAAGAGAACACAGCTGACCTTTTCAAGCTTACTACCCTTCATGGGGTAGTAAGAACAATGCCCCATGGTTATCTTCCAGACCTGATTAATGTAGTACTCAGGCATTTGGGACCACATATAAATTAGTCCAGCTAGCAACAGGAAGGCCCACTCTGACTTGCTGCTAGAGGACCATCTAATTATAATCACAGTCCAACACCATGGGTTGCTACCCAGATATGCTGAAAATTGGCTCTAAAATTACATCTGTGTATTGAAAAACAAAAACCCCTATAGCTATGAAAATCAGCTTACTGAACAGCTGGGATCATGTACTTGTGACAATAATCTCCAGTGGCTACTCAAGCTGACTTAATGAGCACTGATTCCATGGGTTCCACGTAAGTTGCCAGACACAAGCAACTATGAGTACTGGACCGAGACCAGGTCAGCTAGACTTCCATGCCACATCAGTGGATGAGGAAAAATGATCCCTTAAATATTCCTGATTCTTTTTAATTTCATGAGGAATAACTCAAAGCAATAATACTAACGATGTTCAGTGAGATAATAAAATCAGTTGAAGAAACCATCAATAAGTTAAAAGAAAGTTTGAGAGAAAGAATGAATAATCTCATCCAAACAGAAATTAATGTGCTGAAGGATACAGTAATTGAGCTAAAATATATACAAGCATGAGTAAACAGCAGAATAAAAGAAGATGGACTTAAATTTGTGAACTCTAGAACAAGATATTGAATATTATCAATTTTAAAAAAGGGAAAAAATAAAGAAGCAAAGAACAAAGCATAAAGAGATATTTACATAGAGATCCTATTCAGTTGAGTACTAAAAAAAAACAACAATCTTATCATAGGAATTCCAGAATTTCTGTATCACTGTATCACTGTATTCTGTATTCTGTATCACTGATGTACCCCGTTGTTCATCAATTTACTCGAGCAGGGGCCAGTAACTTCTCCATTTGTCCCAGCCCTGAGATTTTAGCACCTCTCCTTACTCATCTTTCCCAACACTACCGTATTGGAGGCTCTTTAAGGGTCCGGGGGAATGAGACCCATTATTGTTGCTGTTTTTGGCATATTGAATATGCCATGGGTAGCTTGCCAGGCTCTGCTGTACAAGCTACTCTAGGTAGCTTGCTGGGCTCTCTGACACACACACACACACACACACACACACACACACACACACACACATCCCCCTATGAGGCTGCTTCTCCTAGAAGAGAGCATAAAATGACGCCCCCATAACTATGCCACTGGACTTCGCGCCAGGCTGTTTTCACTTGGGGCGCCCCAGAGAGGGGTGGGTGAGAGCCCTCCCTGCTCCAAGGGACCCAGCCCAGGCAGCCGACCTCTACTACCCAACCACCGCCATGCTCCAGGCTGCTTTCCACACTCTTGGGCTGAGCCTCACTCATGAGTGAACATATTTCTGGACTGCTTTCAAGGCTGCGCAACACATCATAAGACACTTCCTACCCATTTTTTATAATTACCACACCATATTTGATGGGGTTCAGACAGTAGGCAACAAAATCATAGAGGGAAATTCCAGAAGTTTCATGGAAGAATTTATAATTGATAGTATCTCCATCTGAGGAAGGAGATATGTTGCCTAATCCAGAAGTCCCAAATTTGTTCAGGACAAAATAAACAAAATAAACATTGTGATCATATGACAAGAAGAAGAGAGATGAATTTCTAGAAGCCTCAAGAGAAGTGCAAAGACATACATAGGAACTCAGATTTATCCAAGAAATACTATTTAATGGTCTTGTTTTGAAAAAGGAAAGAAAATCCCGTGGGAAGCAAAAATATAAATAAAAGAATATGGGAGAAAAAAGGCAAGTGATAAAAGGAATTCACAGAATGAACTCTAGAAGGAGTGATGAGCCTTGAGCCCAGAGCCAGAACTAAGCCCTAAGCACTGTTACCAGTCATGCTGCCTCCCTCCCAGCAAGCAAGAAAAATCTCAACAGCAACAAAACACACAATCCTTTCCAAAAAATGGGGAGAGAAGATGGACATATGCTTTCTCAAAAAATACATACGGAGGGCCAACAGGTTTATGGATAAATGCTCATTATAACTTATTATCAGGGAAATACAAATCAAAACAACACTGAGTTGGCATCACCTCATAGCAGTGAGAACTTCCTATACCTAAAAGACTAGAAACATGCAAAATTATCATGGAAGTGTTGAAATGAAATTCTGATTCACTTTTGGTGGTGATGTTGTCTGGTTCAGCCACTAGGGAAAATAATATGGAATATAGATAGTTAAGAACAATATACATGACAACCTTTCAGCATCTGTATTGCAAACTATAATGCCTAAAAGGAGAGTGAGTGTGTGTGTGTGTGAGAGAGAGAGAAAGAGAGAGAGAGGGCATGAGAGAAGATAGGTGACTGCCATAGAGGTGGGGGTAAATAGAGGGGGGTGGGGTGGTTTGTTGGGATGGAAGGGAAACTGGGGACACTGGTGCCAGGAAATTACAGTGGTGGAGGGATGAGTGTTGGAACATTATATAACTGAAACCCAATCATCTTTGTAATGCTCTATCTCACGGTGATTCAATAAAACAAAAAATTGGAAAAATAATTTAAAAATACAACTACCCTATGACTTATCAAATCTACTATGTGGTATATATCCCAAGAACACAAAGACATTTGTTTCAAATATATATTTATACCTAGGGCTGGAGTAATAGCACAGCGGGTAGGGTGTTTGCCTGGCACGCAGCCGATCTGAGTTTGATTCCTCCTCCCCTCTGGAAGAGCCCAGCAAGCTACTGAAAGTATCTAGCCCACATGACAAAGCCTGGCAAGCTCCTGTGAGGTATTCAATATGCCTAAAACAGTAACAACAAGTCCCACAATTTGTTGTGAGATGTTACTGGTGCCTGCTCGAGCAAATCAATGAACAATGGGAGAGTGGTACTACAGTGCTACATATATTCATACCTATTTTCATTGCAGGACTATTAAAAATAGTTACATTCTGGAAACAATCCAAACGACAGATGAGTAGATAAATCAATTGAAGTATATGTACAAAATAGAATACCACTCAACAATAAGAAAAGATTAAAAGTTTTTTTTTAAAAAACAACTATAATCTGTATGGAAATAAATCTGAGGGCAAAGGAAAAATGCCAGATGATCTCACTTATAAGTGGCTGACAAAGAAACAAAGTGAAGCAACCAACAGTATAACATGAAGATAAGCACTTGCATTCTGACAACAGAAGTTACCAAGTTTGAATAAGAGGGAGAAAGTGGTTAGGGAAATGTAGAAGGAAGAGGCAGATTGAAAGAGACAGCAGGATGGTGATGGAATCATTTGGATTTGTGCTGTGGCATAAACATTAACACTATCATAACTGTTATCTCAATAGTTAAAAACATTTTAAGAAAAGTATTTTTTCTGGTCATACTGGGTGCTAGATGCTCTCCAGACATGGTGATGATGCAAAGAAGGATGGTGCAGATGAGTAATCAGGAGCTCAGAAGCAGGGATTTCCACAGAGTCTGGAGTCTCCTGATGACACCTAATGATGCCAAGGAACAACTTACAATGGCGGAGTATAAAAATGTAGAGAAAGTACCTGTTGTTACATGCTCCTGTGATGAGCCTGTATTTATTAGCCAGGCAAGAGTTTGGGCATTTGGGGGGCAGCATGAAGGGCAGGCAACCCGACACATTTGCAATTGTGTTCAGTATGTCTTCTGACAAAATATCTGAAAAAAAAAATACAATAAACTATAGGCATTGTATTTATAATCACAGATCTGGCCAATAAAGTTGCCTGTCTAAAGTAGATGGATCCCACACATTGGGATTTGTAAGTGATCTATATCATGCATTGCAAGACATTTTTCTCCTTTACATCAAGTACTTCCATTTACTCCCCTTGAGCTTTCTTATTGCCAGGAATGTAGGTTTTTAAATTTATTTTTTCTCTGTGATCTTTCAGAAAAGCAGTTCTAAGAGTTCCAGTTCCCTGAGAGACACACAGTGAGTACTTCTCAGAGTCCTCATCACCCTTACTCGACACATCTACAGATCTATTTGTCACAGTTGAACAGCTGAGACAATATGTAAGCCATGATTTCAATGCTTCAGAAGACAGTGGATATGAAGTATTTATCTCCTGTCCCCTCCAAACCTTCTTTAGTTATGACTACCAAGAGTGTTCATGTGTTGATGTACAAAATCCCTTTTTCCCTTCATATTGATTTTTGGTTCCCTCTTTTATATATTTCTAGATTAGAGCCCCCCAAACAGTCTTTCATTTGCCAGTTCTATCACTATTTATTCAACAAATCATAGTAAAAATATGATTGTGTCTATTATTCTAAATGACATTGATTCCTATGAGATGGTTTACACAAATCTTCAAAAATATAAACATAAACAGATGCTAATGAAATTGAGATAGTCACTAATAAAACACTTTTCTAGGTATTTCATTTTCATATTGGAGAGAAGCAAAATCATTCCATTGATTTTTGATTTTGAAAGCCTGCCATTTTCACATTGAAAAGAAACAAAATCAGCTTCTAAATAACCAGTGTTCACTAATCAATCTTGATGGAATCCCTCCACTTGCAGCGGTACATAAACCCCAGACTACAATTTGCATTTAGTTAGTAGAGAATGTGCATTTCTTTAAAAGATGAATACAAACATTTCTCAACAAGAAATGCTAAAGAACAGGCCAGAGTATCATAAATAAACTCTATTGAAAAGAATCATATGGTCACAAATAATATTAATAAACAAAACTAATAATAAGAAATGCCTGGAAGGAGGGGTACCAACATCTAATTATAGGCATTGCTTGGTGATGAAGTGATAGGGGATTCATCTGAATCCTTTCACTTTCCTACTGTCTAAATTTTGTAGACAATTGGACAGCTGAGACAATATGTAAGCCATGATTTCAATGCTAAATTTTGAAAATAGAAATAATTTTAAGAAGCATCATAAATTATATTCTTAAATTATACCTTCTGGGAGTATTCGATATGCCAAACACAGTAACAAGAAGTCTCACAATGGAGACGTTACTGGGCCCGCTTGAGCAAATCGATGAAATTATACCTTATGAACTGAACTAAACACATCAAATGAATTTCTTTAAACACTAAACTTATAGCCTTGATCAAAGGTTGTTAAGTTTCTAAAACATAAACCAAAGTGCTGGTATTTTCTAAGAGCAGAATTTCCATCCCTGCTGGTTTGCTAATTTACCCTGAGATAAAGACAGGGACCAACAATCCTTAGAGATATTTTATTTTTGAGGGCAGATGGATTTTGGATAACCCCAGCAATGCTTGGAAGTTACCACAAACCTGCCTCTATGGTCAGGAATAAGCTCCTGGTCGTATTCAGGGGACCACATGTTATTAGGGACTGAACCAGGATTGGTTGTAGGCAAGACAAGAGTTTAAACCCTTTTACTATTCTCTCTGGCTCCATAAACATTTTTTAAGTATAATATTTGACAGAAAATCCATTTCAAGTGAATGTTTTATTGCTATAAAATCATTTCAACTTAACTGTCTGAAAATTCTGGTTAATCCTTCTTTAGCTGAGTCTTATTCAAAAGCTAATAAGTGAGTATTAAATTAATCTGCAGCCAGTTAGGAAGAAGGGCTCAAAGATCAACTAGCTTAAGGCATCATACTGAAAAATGTATGGACAAACTCATTAAAAAGAAAAACTTGTTTTCCAGTTCCCCATTATAAATTACAAATTTCCTTGTGACTACAGACAAAATATTTCATTAAGGTGGCCTTCTATCAACTCCTGTTTGCGTCTCTTTGCACTTTGATCCGCCAACAGCACCTGAGTGAGTCCCGGTGCTCACTACCATAGGGATGAACAAATTGTGTCTTAGAGGCCTCGAACATCCTCACTGATATGATATCACACAGGGATACTCTCCTGTGATTGTAATGTGCTGACTTACACATAGAAAAGTCTCCTCAAAGAGCTTTTAGGCATTAGCTTCCAGGTTTTAACCAGGTGAATTGGGAGGCATGGAAAATTTCCTGTTATTTTATAACATAAATCAGGATACTTAGTTTATTGATCAGTTCTCCAAATTTGATGTGAATAGCACATACAGTTACTTCCTAGACTGACATAATCAGAGTATGGTAGCTGTATAATCAGCATTTAATGAACTTCTGTGTTTATCCTCTGAATAAGTAGGAAAGTGAGCCCACAATGCATGAGATCAAGTCAGAAATGTGCCCTGTGCAATGTTGCCCCCTAGGAAAAGTCAAGGCTGTTCCCTGGGAGCTGCTGTTCCTGGACTGAGAAAGACACCCAGGTACTTGCCTGTTGGAGTCTGTGATTGTTTAAGTTTTAAGTCAAGTCTTCTTTTCATTGCCTGTATTGAAGTTACCATTATTTCTGCTGCTCGAGAAATGGCTCGGCTTGTTGGTTCAGGGAGTTTGGAAAAAGACAAAAGCTGAGATGGAGAAATGATTTCCCTTTTGTTGAGGTTTCTATAGCACAAAGAAGAGATATAGAATAAATTATTCTTTTAAGACTGGCAATTAGTCACTGATTAATTGGGTGGACCATTATCGAATGTGCTAGGCACTGCAGAGTGTTCTAATATAAATTTTTACATAGAACCTATTCACATAAGTCACAGAATTTAGTAAAGAGGTAAGATATAATGATAGATAATCTAGCTTATTAAAAGGTAGAAAACCTGGCCAAATTTTGACCTTTAAATACTTCCGTATATGAATTCACTTGATTCTCATAGCTAGGTAAGATAGATATTCTCATTCAGTCCCACTTAATGAGGCACAACAGAAAAACCACACAACTCATTGCACAACAGAAAAGAGCCACAGCAACCCACCATGCAACAGAAGAGTCACAACAACTCACTACTCAACAGAAGAGTCACAACATCTTACTACACAACAGAGGAGTCACAACAACTCACTACACCACAGAGGAGTCACAACAACTCACTGCACAACAGAAAAAAGCCACAACAACACACCACACAACAGAAGAGAGTTACACAACTCACTGCACAACAGAGGAGTCACAACTCACTGCACAACAGAAAAAAGCCATGACAACCCATGTGCAACAGAAGAGTCACAAAAACTCACTGCAAAAAGGAGTCACATCAACTCATTGTGCAACAGAAAAGAGCCACGACAATCCACCAGGCAACAGAAGAGAGCCACATAACTCACTATGCAGCAGAAGAGGGCCACAACACACTGTTTATAGTAGCAACCAAAATCACCACAAAAGTTTTAGAAAGGTGGGAAGCCTATCTCCTTCTCAGTCCTGTAAAAAAAATCCTACCCCCTCAGGCCAGCTCCTCCATTTCCAGCAGCAACCACAGGAGGCCAAGACTCAAATCTCCAAGTTTTGAGACTGAATAGGACAAAACCTATGTTATCTCTGCAATGAAGTTGCCATGATCTGATTGAATTTAAAGAGCACCATCACTGAGAACCCAGAGAGGTCTGAAGACCCAACCCTATTCCTACTGATATAGCGCAAGTGAAAGTATGGAGCGCCAGGTGAATTTAGTTGGTCATTTTAAATCTTGTCCTTGGAACAGGTTGCCAATCAAAGGAAAACGGGATGACTGATTGGAGGTGGATGATAGCAGCAAATAAAAGGAGACCATCTGCTCTACTCTCTCTCTCTACATCCACCACTGCCCCTGCCCCCACTCCTCACTCCCCACCAATCCTATACTTCTCTCTCCTTTAAAACCTGCACAGGCATACTGCAGGCGGATCAGGTAGGGCTGCAGCACCCAGACAGATGGCCTAGTACAGGCAGGCCTCGTGGACTAAGTCTGAAGCTGATTACAGGAAGGGCTCAGATCCCCAAGGGCTTGGATGCCCAGACAGGAACAGATACTGAGCACAGGAGTCTTACACATGTGCACATGGCTATGGCTGAGACCTAGGAAGTTGGTACAGGAACTTTTGAGGTACATTTGAGAGGCTCAGTGACAGGTATAGAGCACAAAGAATTCACCTGCATGTGCTGGTCATGACCAAAGACTAGGACAAGGAAGCATTGGGATACAGTTATTGAAGAATAAAGGTAAAGGTAAAGGTAAAGGCCCTCCTGCTGATCGTCGATTTGCTCGAGCGGGCCCAGTAACCTCTCCATTGGAGACTTTTGTTGTTACTGTGTCTGGCATATTGAATACTCTCGGTAGCTTGCCGGGCTCTCCGAATTGAAGAATAGTGAGTCTAAATTTCTCCTCAAGGGAGTTAGTAACTGCTTTGTATCCAACAGTAAACAATACTCTACTTTCTCTTTGGGCACATTCTGTCTTCAACACTATTTCTTCATAAGTGTGCTTGAAGAATTTTCTGGGATAAATACAGCCTTTATTTAATACATTCTTCCACAGGAGAAGATTCCTTTAAAAATAAACAATTGAACATAAAAAAAGATAGTAGAAGAATTTTTAAAAAATGCCCAAAGTTAACAGAAATAGAACTGGTCTTCAGTAGGAAGTTTACCATCATGGGGGCTGAAGGAAGAGAATGGGTGGAGGAGACACACAGGGACAGTGGAGAAGGGAGCCAGCACTCTGATGGAGGGTGTGGTGCTGGAAGGTTTTATGCATGAAACCCTATATTAACAGCACCCAGACAGATGGCCATGGTAAGATAAGCTGAATCTCTCTGAGCAAACCCACCACTGCCCATCAGATCCTGCTTCTAGTCCATAGCACAGTGCTGAGCGGTAGAAAGCCTATTCCTCGTGTTATGTCTTCAGAATGTCTCTGAGGCATCCACTGGAGGCAGCCCAATTTTCCAGATTCCAACTGTTTTCCTCCTTTGTGTTACTAAAATTAAATTTTCACCACTCAGCACATTCTGTCCACTTTCCGTTGTTTCAACAACAAGAATTAAGACAAAACCCAAGCTGTAATGGGTGAGAGGCTAAGTCCCCTATGGAGAGGAAACTGGATCTAAGATGATACTGCAAAGATCTCTTTCAGAAATTTTCTGTGCCAGCACTTACTTGCGAAGGGATTTTAGGAAGTTTGCTGCTGTAATTCTTATTATGTTTTCAGAACATACCTATGATCATATCTCATTCTTCTAAGTGTAGTTTTCAAACTCTGCTTCTCAATACTGTATGCTTTTGTACATGTGTGTATGCATGTGCATGTACATGTATATGATATCAGCTCCCAAATCCGCTTCAAACCTGTTCCATGTTCAAATTTTGTCTTCCAGGTTGTATTCTATTTGAATAAATAGAGCCTGGGCAATATCATTGAGTGACATTATTAAATTGGAAGTCACTGCTAGCAGGGTGACAGTATAATCAATAAAGGTATAAGATATTTATTATCTTTAGTATAATAAATGCTAAAAATCATCTATACCCTAATACCATCTAATATCACTTATACCAGCTAATACCCTGACCATCTTTAAAGTGAAGATTTATCTCAAATATTCATTGAGAGAGTAAGTGAAAGAATGTTATTCAATTTCTTTAAACATAACTAAAGATTATTTGGGAAACTAGTAAACTACTCTTATTGTGATATTGTTGATACTAATTCCATAGGCCCTGTGTAGTCTCACTGAGTAAAGGGTAAAAATATATTAAACAGTTCTACGAATCTTTTATTTTATGGGTGAGCTTCAATTTTTCTCGAGTGAGGGAATCCTGAAACCTGAGCCAATTTAAATTACTACTTAAATTTTGATGAAAAGGAAACAAAGATCCAAAGACTGAGAGTTGAGGGTTTTGGACTTGCCATCTACTTTTTGGGGTTGTAACTTCATTGTCTTTAACAACGCCCTATTCTTCTAAAGCATGTAAAGTGGAATCGTCAGGAGTTTTCAAAGTTTTTAACCCCTGTGCAGATTCATGAACCCACAGTTGGAATTACTGATGTGATTAACAGTAAATTACCAAAGATCACTGAAAGACAAAGAGACCATAGATAATGACATAAGAATAAGCACTCAAGAGTTACCCTCAGAATAGTCATAGAGTTTGTGCAAAGGAACATCCTAACCCACCTTTTGGTAAGAGGGAAGAGTAAGGTCTTAACCTACAGTGAGTTAATGCTACTAAACTGCCCAGACAAGTCCTCAGATCAGGAAACAAAGTGAAAAATCACTCTTTTGTCAGAGACACTTAGAACTCGTGCCTGGAAAAGGAATTTTGCTAACAAGAAAAAAAAATTAGTTGTGAGAAAAATACGGCTCTGTACAAGGCTGTCATGTTATAGAAGACCCAAATTCCTGGAGAGTGAAACTTCCACCAAGGAAGTTATAGAAATACACACATATACTCACAAATACATATTTATACAAAAGTAAAGATGTGTGCTCTTTTCAAAACATAAATTACTCTCCTTTTCTGAAAAATAATGTAACATCTAAAGTTCAAGTTCTTAATGGTGTTTTCTTCATTAATCTATTAGCATATTTGTGGGAGTTTCATTATAGCATAATCCAATAAGACTTGATCTCCATGATGTGTGCTGAAAGGACCAAACACGATACCCTCTCAGTATCTGTATTGAAAACCATAATGCCCAAAAGTAGAGAGAGAGAGAGAGTATGGGGAAAAATGTCTTCCATGGAAGCAGGGGAGGGTTGGAAAGGGGCGGTATACTGGGGACATTGGTGGTGGAGAATGTGCACTGGTAGAGGAATGGGTGTTTGATCATTTTATGAAACTCAGACATGAAAGCTTTGTAACTATCTCATGGTAATTCAATAAAAAAAAACAAGCAAGCAAACAGACAAAAGACTTGATCTCAACATTACATGTTTCCCTGGGAGCCTGTCTCCCTTCTGCTCCTCAGCGATAAAGAACCTGGGTTTCCGTCTGCCTGCTGAGTGAGTGGGACTGTGGAATAAGTGGCTTTTCAGAGCATAAGAGCTTACCCATACATAGGTTTTAAGCATGATCAGTGGAAGAAACAATCTCAATCTTCAAACCTTAACTTTAACCATTAGTTTTTGGAAATGTTTGGATACACGACCTTCCAGTCTTCAATATTAGTTCTCTTGGTACTCAGAACGCACACTCACACATTCACCTAAGCTCAGCTCATCATACTCACACACAGTTATTTTAAGCTTTCAGCTGTAGAACATGAGTGGGATATGATGATTCCATCATATTCCATTTTCAGAAAAAACACCTGATTTTGACTCAGACTTGGAGAATTGTGATGGGCTGCTCAGCATTCTTTGTGTGAAGAGTCAAGAAGGAGAACTGTGCAGATTTCTGTTTTCCCTGGATCAATGGGGGAACAGAATACCAGAGCCATGGTGTTCCTGTTTGATGAAACAGTAATCCTCCTTCAACTTCTAATCTGCCACTGGACAATGGTGACATATTGCAGGTTGATAATTAACAGAATCAAGTGATATTATCATCTATGCACACAACTCCAGGTAGGACATATTTTGGAACTGGCTGCCAATTGTGAATATTAGAAACCATTGGTGAATGCTTAAAAAATGATTCCTTTTCGAAAGGAAGGGAATTTCAAAGACCAAAACACAACATAGCTCCATACTCTTTTGAGAAATAAACACACGTTGTTCTGTCACTCATTTCCCCAGACCAGATGCCACCTTCAAGCCAATCAACACATCCATTGGGTGCAGAAGCAAAGCAAAGCATGCAAAGCATACAAAAGCCTGTTCATGTGTGGGTCCCCAGATTGCATGTGCCATCTCCCACCTCTTCATCCCCTTGGCCTCACTGACATGCCTGACCTTTGCATTGTCTTGTAGAAAGCACTGTCCACCAGAAGCTTGCTCTCCTCCAAAATGCTGAAGACATGAGACTCTTCTGTCTCTCCTATGAAATAAAATACACAAAATCACAACATAAAGAGTCTTACAATATTTAGTCATTTCTAGTTTTATTCATCAAGTCCAGTTTGCTGTGGAGATCTATGAATCATAACAGGACTTCTGGCCCAGCAGATCTGTGAAGCCTGAGCAGGTCACACCCTACTCCTCCATCCACAGCTTTCCAGGAGTCTGTTGGCCCTCTGCGAGCTGCCTTCACCCACCCCTCTCCCTGGATGAAGTAGAGTTTATATTCACTTCTTTCTTTCTTGCCCAAACCACCTCTCATGATTCTGAGTAACTGTTTTTTTTCCCTAAACATTTTACTACCTAGAGTAATAATAAAGGAAGTCCACAATAATATTTTCTATTGTAATTGTTGTATGCAACAAATGACAAATTACTCTATTGTACCAATGGTTTCTAATTTAAAAATAACTTTCATTTTTACTATATTTCTAAGTGATAAGGTCTCAATAATTATATTCTCTAAAATCTATGTGTTAAAATCCTATTGCTTGATGGTGTTTTGTGACACCATCACTTTGGTGGTGTTAGGTGACATTTCCTTAGGGTGTTTAGGGCGTTAGGGTGTTTAAGGTGGTTAGGGGTCTGGGACATAGTTCAGTGGTCAGGTGTGCCTGTCTTGCATTCGTCAGACCTGAGTCTGAACCTGGCACTGTCTGAGCTCCACCCAAGAACTGCCGGGGTTACCCTGGTGACCCTGACCTTCACAGATCTGAGCATCATCACTACCCCCCTGCCAGAAGACCTAGCTGTTGGCTTAGTTACCTGGGCATTACTCAAACTAGCTCTTAGTCCCCCTGATCACTGATTGAGCGCACCCCCTCCCCCATCCCATGCATCCTAAATTAAGATGATTAGGTCGTGAGGATGAGGGACCTAATGAATGGGTTTAGTATCCTTATAAAAAGACCTTAGAAATATCCATTGCCCCTTTTACCAGGAACCCTGTGGTACCCTAATAGAGGGGTTTGTGCAGGAGGGGTTCTGACTAGAGGGCAAATTCACCTCACCTTGTGCTGGACTTCCAGCATCCAGAGTGTGAGGAAGATCTTGTCCCAGCCACATCGTCCATTACATGATGTTAGTGTAGCCCAGTGAACTATACCAGTGAGTTAGGGTATTATGGGGTTAAAATATGAGGTTCCAAGTGAGTAGTGAAAGGCAGGCAAATTTTACTGGTAAAGGACACAAATAACTACTTTGGCTAAACAGTCTTTGACAGAATCAATACTTTATCAAAGGCAGTGCACTTATTTCTGAAAGACATGACAGCTCGTGTTTATATAGAAATAAGACAATATTTAAAAATAAATTTCAATTTCTTTTCAATTAAGTAGACACAGCAGATTATGGAAAGCAAGATTGTGGTTTTTTAATTTTTATTAGTGGAACACCATGGGGTACACTTGTAGATTTACAAATTTTTGTGTTTGGGTTTCGATTATACAATGATCAAGTACCCATCCCTCCACCAGTGCCCATTTTCCATCACCATGGATCCCAGTATCCCTCCCACACCCATAAGATTGTGTTTTCTAATAGCCTATGTCCTAAACCCTAAGTAACACTATGGATGCAAGATGAAATAAAGTTTGGTGACTTAAATGGTTTATTTGTATTTCTTTTCTTTTCTTTTTGGGTTACATCCGGCTATGCACAGGGGTTAATCCTGAGTGTTCACTCAAGAATTACTCCTGGTGGTACTTGGGGGACCATATGGGATGCTGGGAGTCAAACCTGGGTTGGCCGCGTGCAAGGCAAACAGCCTACTCGCTGTACTATTGCTCCAGCCCCCTACTTAAAATGGTTTAAAATGCCTAGAGGGACTCTAGGTTGCAGGTTAGAAGATGGTGATCAGATCAGGTTTCCTATATCACTCCAAGACCGGCACAAAATCTTTGCCAGGTATGTCTCAGAGGAGACGTGCTAAAGATTGCTGAGGCTCTAACCCCTAAAACTATAGATTTTCCTCCCCAACCACACAGCAAGCAGTCATCAACCATACCTCTCTTTTTAAAAAACTTGAAAAAATAATTTGAGCACCGTGATTCATAAATGATTATTGGTGGGATTTCATACATAAGCTACTTCAGCCGCAAACTCTCCACCCAGGTCTCCATTTCCCTCCACCATTGACCCTCTGTTAAGTTTCCTACTGATGACAAGTTCTCAGTTTCTGGTGCCTTTGGACATGTGTTAGTCCTCTATTCTGTCCCTACCATTTCTTGTCTGTTCCTATTTACTTGGGTCCAACACACGCTTTTCAGTTCACTTAAGAGTCCATCTTCCCTTGCAATGTGAGAACTATGAAATTAGTCATGGGATGTTGGGCGAAGGTCACATTTTCTCTAGCAATGCTATAGGTAGAAGTGGGAGCTAGTGGCTGGGGGAGAAACTCTGTCCTTCCAGAGACAAGGAAGGCCAGGAGATTCTTTGGATTTGGCTAAAGGGCACTATGACCCCCTAACCATAACTTTGGGGACAATGTGCTTGTGTTTGCATGCAATTCTCTCTCATTCCCTCCTAACCTAGCCTACTGCACCTCCCAACCTTACAACTTGGCTCACATTTTCATTTCTGAAGTCTAATATGACCCCTTATTTCCCCACTTGACTCTGGGGTATGGTTGGAGCTCACTGACAGTCTTGCCTGGCAGAGAGTTTCAGACTGACCTACTTTTAAAGTGTCCTCTCATCCCCACATCCAGAGTGACTTGGCAAGTCCCTTAGCTTACCCCCTGTCTCACCCCTTCTCAGTTGTCTTTAGGATAGTTACGGAGATGAAAGAAGTAGCTGGCACTGTGATGGAGGATGCGGTGTTGGAAAATTTTACACATTAATACTGATGACTTTAAAAAAAGACAAAATGTGTAAGACTCCAGTCTAATACATTGGAAGTGTCTGTAAAATTTTAGATGATATAATTTTGGTCAATGACATGCTCTCTCTCCTTCCACTGGGAAAGTTGTTCTCTCTCAGCTTCCTCCTCTGGCCTGTCTCTTTCTGGGCGTTGGAGGTGGCATTAACATGGACTCGGCCCGTATTGTTAGTCTGTGCACACTTTATTAAAGCAAACAAAACCCCAGCATGATACTTGAGAACTTTCTGTGAAACAAGATTGTACTGCCCCTGAGATTTGTCCTTGTCTAGCTCTGAGCACATGGTTCCTGCTCAGTGCAATGTTCTGGTCCTTACTTCAGTAATTCCTGTTTGCTGAAATCCAATGAACTGGAATAAAGTTTGCCAATTTCCCCTTTTAAACAAATTCACTCATTAGGCTGCCTTCCCAAATTTCCCAATCTGCAGTCAAAGCTTCTGCTTCTCCTTGTTCATTTGCATCTTATTTTCTTTAACAGCTATAACTTGTTGGAACATTTGCCATAAAGATAATTGCACATAAATCTCGACTTTGCACAAACATAAGGAATACATCCCAATCTGTGTCGTGATGAATACATATGATGTCCATGATAAAACTATACTCAGGGACAGGGGAGTAGGACTTACACAGACTTTTACCTTTGACCCACAATGGTCATGTACATACTTTTTGAGTAAAAATGAAATCTCTTCCACTGTCATATTATTTTATGATAAGATTTTAGATGCTAAATTTACATCTAATTAAACCATAACTCCTGTATTCCTGGATTGGAACCTTTGCTACCCAGAATATTGTGGTGCTTTGATGCCTCACTTTTAAATATCAGTTTTTCTGTAATCCACAGCAAGCTGTGAAGTCCAAAGTGTATGTCCATGATTGACATATTTTCTTTTTTCTTTTGTTTGGGAAGGGGCCATCCCAGAGGAGTCCAGGGGCTATAGTACATGGCCTGGTGGTGTAGGCTGATGGCTTTGGAGTTTGGGCCCTGGTGATGTAGTGCTGCTCTGTTTGAAGGTTTTGGGAGCCACCAGAGCCACACAAAGTGGTTTTCAAGGGACTGTGCAGGCTGGAGATTGAATTTGGCTCTCACTCACGCAAGGAATGCTCTCTAGACATCTGAGATATCTTTTTTGTCCTGATCATGTTAATTGAGTGTCCATGAGCCAGATTCAAACACAACTGTGTGTTGTTTCTTTGTGAAAATCTGGGTTTTAAGACACAGTTTGATCCTGACTCTACCACCTTTGAGTTTGTGAGACTTCAGTTTTTCCACCTGTGAAGTAGGTGGTAATGCTAAATTGGAGTGAACAGCCAATAACAAAAAGAATCCTAGGACTTTCCCTGTTTACAGATGTTCTCTCATGTTCAGGGCTACCAGCTGGTCTTTTGACTGATTTAGAATAACAGAGAAGGAACAACTGACCACTCTTGAAGCCACATAAACCTCAACACACACACACACACACACACACACACACACATACATGCACACACATTATCATCATTTAAATTTTGGCTATAGTGAAATACAGCTGATAAAAAATGTGTTTCAAAGAAAGTTTAACAGTGAGTCATTAATTTGTTTCAAAGTAACTGTTCTCTTGTTGTCAACTAAAAATATATCTCTTGTGTTAAGGACTATAAAATTGAAATACTATGATGCAAATAATATTTCCCAAATAAGTAATTTACCAAGTAAACAAATAATAAAGCAACTCCAAAAAATCCTCATGAGCAATAAAATAAGTTCCAAAGTGGAACACTTTTATCAGGTGCTGCATTATGCTTTATTTATATAGTTAGTGAAAGTTTTTGATATGCCAAACACAGTAACAACAAAGTTTCACAATGGAGACATTACTAGGCCCGCTTGAGCAAATCGATGAACAACAGGAGGACAGTGACAGTGACAGTGAAAGTTTAAAAAAAAATCAAATCTCTCAGAGATAGGAAAATAATTAAAAAGCTGTTTTAGGCAACCCAAGTGCCCTATAACAGATAACTGGTTAAAGAAACTTTGGTACGTCTACACAATGAAATACTATGCAGCTGTCAGGAAAGATGAAGTCATGAATTTTTCTTGTAAATGGATAGACATGGAGAGTATCATGCTAAGTGAAATGTGTCAGAAAGAGAGGGACAGACATAGAAGGACTGCACTCATTTGTGGAATATAAAACAATGTAACATGAGGCTGACACCTAAGGATAGTAGATACACGGAACAGATAAATTGCTCCATAGCTGGAAGCCTGCCTCATGAGCAAAGGGAAGAAGGCAGCTGGAATAGAGAAGGGATAACTAAGGAAAAGATGGCTGGAGGAATCGGTCAGGATGGGAGATGTGTGCAGAAAGTAGATAAAGGACCAAACATGATAACCTCTCAAGGTTTGTATTGCAAACCATAATGTCCAAAAGTAGAGAGAGATTATGGGGAATCATGTCTGCCATGGAGGCAGGGGGAGGGTGGGAAAGGGGGTGCGGGTATACCGGGGATATTGGTGGTGGGGAATGTGCACTGCTGGAGGGAGGGGTGTTTGATCATTGTGTGATTGTAACCCAAACATGAAAGCTTCTAACTATCTCACGGTGATTCAATAAAATTAAAAAAATATATTGTTTTAGGAAACTTAAAATGCCATATAGCACTATAGCACTGTAGCATTGTCCTCCCATTGTTCATCGATTTACTCAAGGGGGCACCAGTAACAGCTCCATTGTGAGACTTCTTGTTACTGTTTTTAGCATATCGTCATGGGTAGCTTGCCAGGCTTTGCCGAATACTCTCAGTAGCCGACCTGATTTTATTTTATTTTAATTATTTATTGATGTCGTTTTGGGGGGCCACACCTGACTCTACTAGGGTTTTCTCCTGACTTTGTGCTCAAAGATTACATTACTCCTGGCAGTGGGGGACCATATGTAGTGCAAGGGTCAAACGTGGATCAGCTGCATAGTGCCTTACTCCCCTATTCTATCTCTCCAACTATCCTGACTTTTAAAAGGAATTTAATTATTTTTAAAGCCAAAACGTTTGTATATAGACATGTTTAATTTCTGTTGAACTGCTCCCATGCATACCAATTTTGTCATAATTAGCTCTATGACTTTCAACTTTGGTGACTATGGCTTTTGTTAAACTATAACTTCAATAAGTGTGACAGAGAAGGGGAAATTAATTTA